AGGAGGAGGAGGAGGAGGAGGAGGAGGAGGAGGAGGAGGAGGAGGATGACCCCCTCCCCCTCCTACTCATGGTGGTGGTGGTGGTGGAAAACAAACCCACCGTCATCGGGGGGGGGTGGCGGGCCTTCGCAGAAGGCTCGGAAGGCCTCCGGCCTTCTGAGGAGTTTTCTCTCGGCCTTCTCTGGTGAGGGCATTAAATAGGGAACCATTGGATAAGGAATCCAGGGTCGGGACGACAGTGAACTCCAATCGCGGACTGACCAGGAATATCACCGCCGCCTTCCTCAGATAAGGAACCCTCCAGGGTCTGAAGCCTTCTGGGCACATTCCTCAACCAACACCCCCCCCGAGGCGGCTTCTGAGAAGTCCAGAGGGCTTCTGAGAAGCCCCGCCACCTTCTGAGAAGGCCTGCTCCCTCTCACTTCCCCCCTGGGCTCGTCACCGGCTCGCCAGTCCTGGCCCCCGCTTCCTGTCTCCGAATCCCCCCCCGTCAGCATCTTCTGACCTATCACCTTCCCCACTCGGCCATGGCATCTCCGCCCCACCAACGGGCCTAACCAGGAGGTGGGGGGAAGGGGGGGCTGGTCACATCACGATTCGCGTGGCGCCGTCTGGGAATGCTTTGGAATGGCCTATTCGAGGGAGTTTGTCTTGAGAACTCGATCACGTCATCCTGACCCACGGCGCGCGAGGGAATGGGCCCGCCAACCGTCTCCCCTGCTCCGTTTCCGGGAAATCTGGGAAGTCTGGAAAATCCAAGAAATCCAGGAGATCCGGGAAACAAATTTCAAACCAGCGCTTTCGCGTGGGACATCCTCAGAAAAGCGGCCCCCCGAGCCTCCCGAAGGAGACCCTCAGAGGGCCCCCTGTTCCGTTCCCGGGGAGTCCGAGAAATCCGGCGACGAATTCCACGCCAACCCTCGCGTGGGACATCCTCAGAAAAGCGGCCCCCTAAGCCTCCCAAAGGAGGCCCTCAGAGGGCCTCTTGTTCCGTTTCTGGGAAATCCGGGAAATCCGGCGGCGAATTTCAAGCGGGCGCCCTCGCGTAGGATGTCCTCGGACAAATTTTCCCCCCGAGCACCGCCGGCGCTGCCCCTGGCGCGCTCCGCGTGCCAGGGAGGGGGGCCCAGCGGTGGTCCAGGAAATCCGCGCGGAGCTCCGCAAGATTATGTTTATCCGCTGGAGCTCCGCAACGTTATGTTTGTGCCATTTTTGCAGTGTTTTGTTACTCTAATTATCTCCACAGTCACTCAACATGAATACTACTCTTTCTTTCTTTCTTTCTTTCTCTCTCTCTCTCTCTTTCTTTCTATGTCTCTCTCTCTCTTCCCCCATGATGCCGTGCTTTTTCCCCTAGCCCATATTGGGGGGTTGCCGAGCAGAGCAAGACGGGCAGGGAAAGAGCTGCGCCGAACGCGTGAGCGACGTGGAGACAGAGGGGGGGATTCGACTGCGCAGAGTCCATTTGATCCTATCGATCCGATTCGATATCGATTCCTGACGGCTCGATCCGATCCGATTCCGATATTTTGGCGATCCGATGCGGCCCGATGCTTGCATGGCGCTGCTGTTGTGCATCCTGGCGCAGCCGATCCGATTCGATTTCGAATTCGACTCTGTGCCGATCCAGCCCGATCCGACGCACGGTCCGGTTCGATCTGATTGGAAAGGCCTGACGGCCTGTGCCGCCGACCCTGAAAGACATCGACGACGACCAGGAGGGGGAGGAGGAGAAGGAGGAGGAGGAACGGGAGGAGGAGGAGGCGGAGATAAGGAGGAGGAGGAGAAGGAGGAGGAGGAGAAGGAGGAGGAAAAGGCCTCCCCCCTGGGACCACCCCCCTGGGGAGGAGGACCGGAGGAGGACCGGCGTGGGAGAGAGGAGGGGAGGGGGCGGAGGACCCCCAGGGACGATTCGATCCGAGTTCCCGATTCGATGTGAACGGATCCTGCTGCGCGAGCGCCCTTCGGTCGCCCGCTCGCTGGCATCCACATGTAGCCGGGTGGCTACCGTTTTTTTCTTGCCTGCGTGGGGAGCCCACGCGGGACTTCGCGACGGTGCCCGCCGACACCTCGCCGGAAGGTCGGCGGCGCGCCGAAGGGGGAAGTGAGGATGGGGCATCAGGGGCAACCATAGGAGGGGATAGGCATAGGTCAGGCGATCGCAAACATGGATTAAGGGGGCGTGGATTAGCAACGGGTCCCGTTTCCATAGGAAATCGCTGATTGCCGCCGCCGAACGAGGCGCCACCGGCCGCATTTTGGGTAGGGCACCTCCCCCGATCCATGGATTTGGCGACCGCGCGCCAAATCCATGGGTCGCTAATCCATGTTTGTGCGCCCCCGGATAGGGGGGGATGCATCGACCCCCAATCGCCCATTGATCGCCGATCGGGGCCGGTAGCCCCAACTTGCACAGGAGGGTGCGAAATTATTATCGGGGGCCTGTCGCCGATCTATCGGCGATGTACCGCCGATTCCAGGTCGATGCATCCCCTCCTATGCCAGTCCCCCCCTATCGTTGCTCCTCAGGGCAGCGGGGGTTCTCAGAAGCCCCTGGGCCTGTTGAGAAGCAGGCCCAGAGAAAGCTTACCCAGAAGGCCAGAGGCCTTCAGAGCCCTCTGAGAAGGCCCGCCCCCCGCCCCCGCCGAGTGGTATGGGCGGGACCCGATCGGCGGGAGCTTCAAAGGGTGGGATTGTACAGGCGACGGCGAGAGGTGGCCACGCAGACACCCCGCGCACGAGGCAGCCGAGCCCAGGGCCGCACGGGCGAGAGCCTACGATCAGGAGCTTTGGCTTCGCGTGTCGCTCCGCCGCTTCCGGCCCACCGCGCTTCGGCGCGACGCGGTGTCCGCGCCCCCATTGCCAAGCGCCAGCGGTCCCCGAGCTGTTCCCCGCCTCCCGTCCTGCAGCGCGGAGCCACGGGCGATCCGCTTGCAAGGCACAGCGCGTCGCCGGGGCCGCCGCGGCGGCACACGATCCAGAAGTTCTTGACCTCCACATAGGGCATCTGTACCCCACGGCGGCTGGCGAAGGCCATCCTGGACCCCTTGACGGTGTATAGACCCTCCTTGCCTCGGCCAGGAGGCGTTCGCACCATGCGTTGGCCCAGGAGGGCCCTGGCCAGACACGGTGTTGGTGTATCGATGCCATGACCGTATCGGCGGGACCCTGTCGGCGGGGTCTGCGAGGGGCGGTGCCCTGTGGGCGCCAGCGACGGCGGCCAGACCCGCGCGCCCAGTGCAACCGAGCCAGGGGGCCCCGCGGGGCGGCGGCGGCGGCGGCGGCGCAGAGGCCCACACCGGGGCTCCCGCGCGCCCAGAAGAGGGCCAGACGCGCCCGACACCCATTGACAGGCTTGAAGACATCTCCCCCCTTCTCTTTGTCTTCCTCCTCCTCCTCCTCCTCCTCCCGCTCCTCCCGCCTGCCATGAAGCGCCATGGCTACCACATCCAACCAAAGCACCAGGCCAGCTGCCTCGGCATCGACTTGGCGTGCTGAGCCCGACGCGCTCGCAGCACTGCCACAGCACGGACCAAGAAGCACCAGGGTATGCACGCCAAGATCGTCCGCATCGCACGGGCCACTAGACGGTACCGTGTATCGGGCAAGCTTGGACTCCACGGCGGACTCGCTGCGGCCACCTACGGCCACCAGCTCTGTGGCGCCCACGGCACACGCATGACCACTTACCGCCGACGACTAGCAGACGCCATCGCACCACGACTGCGAGGCAGGTGCCTCACCACCGTCCTCGGCCTCCGTGCGGACCGCAACGACCCCGCACGGAAGCTGCCACGCGAAGCATTCGTCGCCTGGCTCACCACGTGGACGCAGAGCCCTGCACCACAGCCGTCCATCGCCATCACATGGAAGCATGTCGTCGCCCACTTCCGCACGCTACCTGCCAACCACCGCGTCAGGCACACCAGAGGACCGCAGTCCACCATCATCCACTACCTCATGCAGTACGGATGGCAACCAGACCGACCTGACCGATGGACGCTACCGACCGACATCTCAGCAGATGGAGCGGCGTGGGAGTTCAACGCCACAGAGCTTTCTGGTTGCGCTGAGGCGGACATACCGCACCAGCTGCTTCACGACATCGATGCCAGCATCCAGCACCAGCTTTGGGAGCAAGCCAGTCTCCACCACGGCGGTGAAGGACTACAGCATGGTGCCGACAGCTACTCCTACACGCGGCTCATCAAGTACCTGGAACGACTACCCCACAGCGAACACGTTTCGCCAACCTCATGCTCACTATCGCGGCAGGCGCTATGTGGACACGGAAACGGATCGCCATTGAAACAAAACTACCAGACGTCACCAGTTGCTGCCCCAGGTGCCAGACAGCTTTCGAAGACGACTACCATCGTGCTTGGGAATGTCCTGCCAACAAGGACAATGCGATCATCACCAACAATAGTTACACCGTCCCTGAAGCAGCCTCTGAGAGGGATATGTACGCATGCTTCTGGACACGTGGGATCATCCAGCCAGCTGGACGGCCACCACACCACCAGCACCACAGGAGCAGTGGACATGCCACGGCATTGACAGTTTCCGCAAGGGCTGCTTGGACGATATCCCTGGACACACCCTTTATGCGTTCGGCGACGCCAGTGGAGGCCAGGAGACCTCCAACACGCCTTTGCGCAGGATCGGTGTTTGAGTTGCCATCTATGACACGCCCGTTCAGAACGACTTGGACATGAGAGCTGCATACTGGGGACCCTTGCCAGGTATCAGGCAGACCGTCATTCGTGGAGAGCTCCTCGCCATCGTCACAGCGGCCGAGGGCACCAACTGAGATCTTGTTTTCCTCACTGACAGCGAAGGATGCTACCTCAACTACCAGAATGGTCATCTACAGGTGCCGCGGGGACCTGACGCCGATCTATGGCTCCAACTCCAGCGCGCCAGCTCCGACCGCAAAAGTATCACCATCGTTTGGATTCCTTCGCACATGGGGCCCGAGGACATTTTGGAAGGGCGCATCCTTCCATCGCTGGCCTATGGCAACTCCGTCGCGGATGAGCTCGCGGGCATTGCTGCCAGCCAGGCCCGCCTCAGCAGCTCCGAAAGGCAGCAACATGCACTTACTGAGCTGAAGGCCTTCCAAGTCAGGATGAGATTGCTACGCAGCGCCCTTGATGCTCTAGATTTTCAGCGAGTGCAGACACAATCTTCCGAAGGCCTACGCCCAAAGCGGCCAAGTAGAGGGACACCCATCAGGCCTCCAGCCCTAAGTGTCGTTTTCCTATTTAGTTCTCAACATTGTGTTGATCCTCAAGCGAATAGGTGTCGTAGGTGCAGGTCCTCGGCTAGCAAGGCCTCGAGAACCCAGTGGCTCCAATCAGAATGCTTTGAGCTCCTCAATGTTGATGGCACTTATATGATGGCTCCACCTGGGAAACAGGTTCAAATTGCTGGGGGCTCACGCATTCAAGTCACCGTGTAAGGTTCCACGCTGGGCTTGGTCTTTGGTTTTGCTCCCACTGCGGCGCCATCGCGAATCAGCGCCTCGGGAAACTCGGGGACCCTTGCACTGATGCCACTGCTACAGGTCGGGAATACCTGAGGAGAATTGCCCTAGGTCTTTTGTCCAAAGTTCTTAGTCGAGCTGAGAAGGCCTAGAGGGACAAGAATACCCCGAAGAGGGTGGCGGACGCCTAATTGTATCCATCGCTACGCGATTATGCAGAGACTCCAGAGACTCCCGCTCCTCCCGCTCCTCCTCCGGTTCCTGCTGCTCCTGCTCTGGCTCCTCGCGCTCCTCCTCCGGCTCCTGCTCCTCCTCCTCTGGCTCCTCCTCTTCCGGCTCCTCCCGCTTCTTCCTCCTCCTCCTCCTGCTCCTCCTTCTCCTCCTCCTCCTCCTCCTCCTCCTCCTCCTCCTCCTCCTCCTCCTCCTCCTCCTCCCCCTGCTCCCACGAGGGCGGGGCCGCGGAAGAGGGAGTGGAGCGGCCGCGGCTGGCGGCGTCCCGCGGCCTCCGGAGCGAGGCGGTCTACATCGAGGGGTCCGACGACGCTGCGGCGAGCGCGGCTCCTCCGGAGGGCGCCCTAATTTGGTCCAGATCCCGGCTATCTTCGGGCGCAACGATAGGGGGGGATAGGCACGGGGGGGGGTCGCATCGACCCCAATCGCCCATTGATCGCCGATTGGGGCCCGATATGCAGAGGGGGGTTGTCCCAAGGTGGGTCAGGGAACGAGTTCAGCTGGACGCTCGCATACCTTTCTTCCTTCCGCCAGGCGGGGCGGTCGTTCTCTGGCCTCACCTCTGCCCCTGCCACGCACGTCCTGGCGAACACGGGGTCCCCCGATCGCCGAACGGGATGCAACAGTGGCGTCCTGCGCGCTCGGGTGTGGCCTCCCCGCGGCTCCCGAAAGTCGCGCACCAGAGGTGGCTCTTGTCCATGGTCGCTCCAACGCGCAGCCGAAGAGCTCCGACCAGTGTTTGTCTGTTCTTCAATCGCGGAGTTGTGCCTCGACTTCGGCCTCCAGGGGCTGCTGCTCTAGGCCTCCCGGATGGGGTCCGCGCAGATGGGGTCGGAGGATCGCGCCGCATCGCCGATGCATTTGCGATGCGGCTCGATGTGGAGCCCGATTTCTCCACGCCGACGCTGCCGACGCCGATGCTTCGTCGATGTTTCGGCGATGCATCGGCGATGCGGCATGATCCTCCGACCCCGTTTAATTCCGACCCCCCCTGGGAGCCTCTAAGATCTCCGACAGTGTAATGTTTTGCTCAATCCCGGAGTTTTTTCTCGGCTTCGGCCTCCAGGGGCCGTTTCAGGGCCCGTGAAGTAGACGTGCAGTGAGCTCCCGAATTCGACTTACCTTCAAGAGCTTGGCTCTCGCCTGAGATATCCTCACAAACGGAGGCGTCACCAGAGAAGTCTGACAGCGGGTCATTTGACTTAATTACCTTGCTGTCGGCTCGAGGTATAGGATCCAGGTCGGTTCGGGGAGGGTACCCTGATATTCTTCGTGGTTGTTGAGTGTTCTTGTGCATGCTGGGGGAGGGTACCTTCGAGTGTTCTTCAGCTTGGCCAGAGGAGGGCCTCATGTTCTTGAAAGATGTTTTTCTGTCCCAGGGCCGGCAGTAGTACCAGATTCGTGGGTTCCTCAAGTTTCGATCCATCCCGGAGTGTCTCCTCAACCTCGGCCGCCGGGAGCTGCTTCGGGGCCCAGTGGCCATCTCGGGGGGAGCCGGTGGGGAGACCGGCCCCGAGTGGTCGGTGCTGCAGCTGCGGATTGAAACGATCAAGTCGTCGGATGTCTGGGGGGAAGGGTGGGCCTCCTTTGGTGCCCCGAGGTGTGGGGGCGAGCTTTCGGGATGTTTTTGTCTTTTTGTTGCCCTTCAAGGGGACTCCTCGCTGCCAAGGACGGAGCTCCCATCGGAAATCGGGCCAACACGCACCTTAGGGGGAGTCCAGGGATCGTTAGTAAGGAGGAGGAGGAGGAGGCGGAGGCGGAGGAGGAGGTGATGAGGACCAGTGTAAACCCAAGACTCATCAGCGATATGGGAATACACCCTCCCTCCAAGCTCTCTCTTCATAGGCCCCGACAATGATTCATGTCCACAGAGAGAATTGCCCCGTTGGGCGGCAACGGTGTAAACAAGTTTATGCGTGCCCAAGCACCATTTTCAGGACTTCAATTCCACGAGCTAGCCTGATTGTGAGTTCTTGAGGATCCTGACTCGTGCCAGAACTCCCTACCTGGGAGTTCAACGCCACGAATCAACGTACTTGTCGCGCTCTGACAAGCATGAGTCGGTCCAGCACACCATTTCTGGTACCTACGTGAACCATGAGAACCAGTGTAACTCGCGTAAGCTTTTGAGACGACTGTGCGCGGCGCTAAGGTGAGAGTCACAACACGAATGTGCGTGGCGCGAAGGCAAGGGCCACATTTTGACAACCACCCGCCCTCAATCCGTGGAACTCTTGCAAACTTTGAAACAAGTGTGCGCGGCGCTACGGCGAGAGCCACATGTTGAGAACAGGAACCGCCCTCAATCCGTGAAGCTCTTGCACATTCTTAGGACGAATGTGCGCGGCGGTGAGGCGAACGCCACATTTTGAAAACGACCCGCCCTCAATCCGCGAAGCTCTTGCACACTTTAACGGGAATGTGCGCGGCGCTAAGGCGAGAGCCATATTTTGAAAACCACGCTTCAGGGTCATAGATGGTGAGGAAGTCTCAGGCGAAACGCCCGGCCCGCCCTTTCGACCGGCCTTGGGGTGCGACAGGGAGGAGTTATTCAGAAGGGCAAGGAATGGAGGAGCAGGGTGGAGGATGAGGATGAGGATGAGGATGAGGATGAGGATGATGGCGAGGAGGAGGAGGCGGAGCAGGAGGAGGAGGAGCAGGCGGAGCAGGAGGAGCAGGAGGGGGAGGAGGACCAGAGTAAGCCCAAGATGCATCAACCGATGCTGCAATACACCCTCCCGTCCCAAGTCCCCTTCCAATGATTAAGTCCATACAAGTCTTCCTTTCCACTGTGGGCGGCCCTCCTTGAATGGCGAGCGGCCGGTCTGTCCGCCAGTCAAATCAGGGCGTTTGTTGGAAAGGATCCTCCCCACACTTGAAGGACGCCCAGGGGGGTCGCCCCAACTTGAGAAGCACATGCCCTCCATCCGTCTGGGTGTAGCAGGATGTCAGAGTCGTGGACGTATGCCCCGCGGAAGTCCCACGCGATAGCTCCTCAAGGAGACCCAGGGATAGCCTCAGCTCGAGAAGAAAATGCCCTCCATCCGTCTCAGCGTTGCAGGATGTCAAAGTCGTGGACGCATGCTTTGCGGAAGTCTCACGCGAGAGCCCCGTTTCGAAAGTGGACCCGCCCTCATCCGTGTTAGCTGTTGCACAATCTGGAACGCTAGGTCGTTGAGGTCGAGGAAGGGTCACGTCAGTGTAGATGGTGGACCTTGTACTCGAACGTGCGCGAGGCCAAGTAGAGACCCACATACGGTGGAGGCGTTCGTCAAGGAATGTGCCCAGGAGGCTGCAGACAGACCTTGTATTCTTTATCTAAGGGTTGTTTGTCCAATGTTCCACTGTTTGGGAAAAAGGCACGCCATCCACTTGCGCAGCTTAGGGGCAGCTTGGAATTCGAGTATGCACGACGGCATGGCGAGAGCCCCTTTTTGAAAACGATCCGCCCTCTATCTTTGCTTTGATTGTGTAAAAGGATGGTGTGCGGCGCCAACCAAGCGAGAACCCCACTTTGAACATCGTTTGTGGTCCACGCGTCGATGCGATCTGAATTAATCTGATCCTTGAGGCTTCCCGCGGTGACGGGCATGATGAAGATGAGGATGTGGATGCTGTTGCTGCTGGTGGCGACGGCGAACCTGGGAGTTCTGGAGGAGTGGTTGGAGCGTCCGGGAAGGAGGAAGGTGAGGAAGAGGAGGAGGAGAGAGAGGAGGTGGATGGGGGAGGGGGAGAAGGGGGAGGCGGACGATGAGGAAGAAGAGGAGGAGGCGGAGGAGTAGGAGGAAGGGGAGGGAGAACAGGATGATTTGGCGGAGAGGGGAGGATGGGGGATGATGCTGTTGTTTATGATGATGATGTTGATGATGATGATGATGGTGATGATGTCGATGATGCTGCTGATAATGATGTTGATTATGATGACGACGACGATGCTGCTGCTGCTGATGATGATGATGATGGTGATGGTGATGATGATGATGATGATGATGATGATGACGACGACGACGATGATGATGATGATGATGATGATGATGATGATGATGATGATGTGGTTGTTGATGTTGTTGCTGTTGTTGTCGTTGTCGTTGTTGTTGGTGGCGATGGTGATAATGCTGATGAGGAGGAGGATGGTGATGTGGTGGTGGCGATGGTGATGATGACGATTCTGCTGATGCTGATGCTGACCAAGGTGATGACAATGATGGCGATGATGCTGGTGGGGATGAGGATGACGGTGATGATGGCGATTACGATGATGATGTTGCGGCTGATGCTGCTGTTATTGATGATGAGAAAGAGCGTGTTCTACCGCTGCTGGCGGAAAACTGGGGGGGGTCACTACCGGTTCGAACCCCTCCCCCCCCCTCCGGAAAACCGGGGGGGGTCACTACCGGTTCGATCCCCTCCCCCCCCCCCAGTTCATCATGAAAAGGGGGGGTCACTACCGGTTCGACCCTCCCCCCCCCCTCGAACTCGAAAACCGGTGGGGGGGTCACTACCGGTTCGAACCCCCCCCCCCCCCTCGAAAACCGAGGGGGGGTGCGGACAGTGGTGGGGACGGTGGTGGTGGGGACAGTGGTGAGGGGACAGCAGGACAGTGGTGGGGACAGTGGGACAGTGGTGGGGACGGTAGTGGTGGGGACAATGGTGAGGACAATGGTGGGAACAGTGGGGACAGTGGGACAGTGGTGGGGACGGTGGTGGTGGGGGACAGTGGTGTGGGGACAGTGGGAATGTGGTGGAAACAGTAGGACAGTGGAGGGTACAGTGGTGGTGGGGACAGTGGTGAAGGCGGTGGCGAGGACGGCGGTGGGACAATGGGACAGAGGTACAGTGGGGACAGTGGTGGGGACAGTGGGGACAGTGGTGGGAACAGTGGGACAGCTCAGTGGTTCGAACCGGTAGTGACCCCCCCCTCCGGTTTTCGAGGGGGGGGGGGGTTCGAACCGGTAGTGACCCCCCCCGGTTTTCGAGTTCGAGGGGGGGGGGGAGGGGTTAGGGGAGGGGGGGGTTTTGCTTGGGGAAGGGGGGGGAGGGGTTCCAGCAGGGTGGGGGGATTTTCGGAGGGGGGGGGGGGGACCCCCGGGGTTCCGGAGGAAAAGGGCGGCAATTTTCCACAGTAAAGCGGCGGTGGATCACGCTCTCTCGATGATGATGATGATGATGATGTTGGTGATGATGGTGATGATGATGATGATGATGATGATGATGATGATGATGATGATGATGATGCCGCTGCTGATGATGCTGCTGATGAGGATGCTCATGATGATGATGGTGATGATGCTGCTGCTGATGCTGCTAATGAATATTATGACGATACTGCTGCTGGTGATGATGATGCTGATGACTCTGGTGGTGATGATGGTGATGATGCTGCTGCTGGTGATGGTGATGCTGATGATGATGATGATGATGATGATGATGATGATGATGATGATGATGATGATGATGCCGATACTGATGATGATGATGGTGATGATGAGGATTATGATGATGGTGGTGCTGATAATAATGCTCATGGTGATGATGCTGATGCTGATGAGGCTGATGATGAGAAGGAGGATGCGGGGGAGGAGGAGCATGAGGAGGAGGAGGAGGCGGCGGAGGAGGAGGAGGAGGACGAGAAAACGGAGGAGGATGAGGAGGAGGAGGAGGAGGAGGAGGAGGAGGAGGAGGAGGGAGAGCACACGGAAGAGGAGGAGGAGGAGGAGAGGAGGAAAGAAAGAAGGATGAGGAGGAGGAGAGGAGGAGGAGGAGGAGGAGGAGGAGTGGGAGGAGGAAGAGGAGGAAGAGGAGGAGGAGTAGGAGGAGGAGGAGGAGTAGGAGGAGGAGGAGGAGTAGGAGCAGAAGGAGCAGGAGGATGGAGGAGGAGGAGGAGGAGGTCGAGGAGGAAGAGGAAGACGCGGAGCAGGATGAGGAATGTGGAGAAGGAGGAGGAGGACGAGGAAGAGGAGGAGGAGGAGGAGGAGAAGAAGGAGGAGAAGGGAGGAAGAGGAGAAGGAGGAGGAGGAGGTCAGCTACGCTCGAGGAGGAGGAGGAAGAAGAAGAAGAAAACGAATGATATTAATGTTCATACTGTAATAATAATTGCGCAATAAAACACGATGATGACAACGGAAAATAAGAATCTGAATGCTAATACTAAGAAAATCATTACGAAGAAGAAGCAAACACGAGTAACATTAGTACTCATGCTAATACGAAGAAGGCTTTGAAGAAGCATACGATGACTAATCTGAATGCAACTACTACTATGAAACATGAGAAAGATGATGACGCTAAGAAGAAGAATTAAAATAATACGAAGACGAAAGCGAATCATACGAGTACGAATTCAACTAATAAGCGTAATAATAGCATCAATCATGCTGTCACTAAGAATAATATTTATAGCCGTAGTTACGAAAGTATTAATAACAACTATCAGTCGTATTAATCGTAATACAATCACTATACGAAGAAACTGATGGTGATGATGATGCTGATGAAGAATAAGAAGAACAAACCATAATAATCATACCAATAAGAATAGCAATACCAATACGAAGACGAATAAGAACCATATTAATACGGTTAATACTAATAATAAGAAGAGGAGGATGAGGAGGAGGAAGAGGAGGAGGAGGAGGAGGAGGAGGAGGAGGGGGAGGAGGAGGAGGTGATGGAGCGGGGAAGGCCTCCTCCGCCGCCTGCGGCCGGCCGGCGGCGCACTTCGCCGCCGCCTTCCTTGCCGGGGCAACCTGAGGCCGCCGGCTGGAGCGGCGGCATGGAGCAGTGGTGCAGGTGGCGTCCGCGCGCGCGGAGGGAGGGGGAGGGAGGGAGGGAGGGGTAGTGAGGGAGGCGTTGTGAGGCGGGGGCGGGGGAGGGAGGGAGGGAGGTGGGAGGAAGGAGGATGGAGGACGACGGAGGGAGGACGACGGAGGGAGGATGACGGAGCGAGGAGGGAGTGTTTTTTGCTGAGAACAGCAAACGAGCAAGTCAACCTTCGCGGGGGTGGAAGGGAGGGACCTTTCAGTAAGTTGCAAAACACAGCCAGACTAGGAACGCCAACGGGCCAGGCCTTCATGAAGGGATTTGGTTCTGGCAGTGGCTGGCGTGGAGCCTGGGACAGTCGCCCGGATGCCCGGGAATGGGGATGGGGGCCCACTCGGGTGCCGCGCGGTCGAGGAAGGGAGGGAGGAGTGAGGTGGGAACCAGGAGGAGGGAGGGAGAAGATGGAGGATTTCCAGGATTTCCGCCATCACGTAGTGATAACCAGGCTTAAACGCTCAGCCCTTCGGAAACAGGCCGCGATTGATCCTGTCAAGGTACTCGCGCCTGGCCTTCGAAATCGGCAGCTTGCACGGTTCTCCCAGGCCTCTGAGCTGAGCCTGGCCGAAGAACCCACACGTGCGGCAAAACCAGATTTTAAGGTCTTTATGATAGGTCAAGGCGTGTGAAGGATGAGTCCAGCCACCGGCTAAGTGTAAACGCCGTCCCCTAGGAACACGACAAAGCTCACTGCTGTCATGCTGGAGTTGGAAGCATTCACTTTTTAGCCATTCGGACACCACAGCCTTGGTCGCAGAGCCTTTACACACGCTACACGCCCTCCCGTTTTCGGTCAGGGTATGTGCGGACGCGAAGCGTGCAAGAGCTAAAGGAGGAGGAGGGGGAGGAGGGGGAGGGACTCTACCAACACCTCGCACTCTCTGGGCACCAGAAAGCTGAGACGCTCGAATGGAGTCTAAGCCGACACGCAGCAACCTCCTCCGTACAAGTCGGGCCCGATGCTCGACATCGTGAATCTTGTGACGATCCTCAGAAGAAACACGCGCGAGTGTCGCTGCCACTCCCGCGATCTCATCCACACATGAGTTGCCTACCACTAACCACGAGGGGAGACCACGGGCCAGCACTTCAGCACCTGTCAAATGAGACGGGATCTGAACGACAACTATACACGCTGGAGCTCTACCTTGTGAGATCAGTAGCTTACCGATGTCACGCCATATGTCTGACTGGGGGCCTTGAGGCCTGCGGAACAACTCGCCGTACCACCTTCTAGCTACTTCGTCACAATCAGTAACATACAGCAATTCGCCTACGCTGAAGCGCCCTAAGTTCGCCTCGAGGAACGGTGCCGTTCCTGTGAGGGGCCCCATGAGGAAAGGCCCCAAATCCAACGGATCATACCTAGTGAAAGTAGCGAGTCCTATGCCAACCCGCCTGAGCCTAGAGTCGAGGGTTTCGCGACCCCCAGAGGCATCTCCGAAAACGACCAGAGGCTCCAGAGCAGTCCCAGTCCCTAGACAGCCAGCCCCGAGACCATCGTTCCCGAGACGGCCGCCAGAAATAACCTCAACAGACGGAGGGGGCTGACTGGAGGTCCAAGCGGAAGGGATGAGCCCCCGCATCCAGAAACAAGGAAAAGCCTCGGACTCACTCACAGCACGCGGAAGTAAATCGTTAGATTCATCGAATGCACGTGACCCCTGATTTTCGGAACACGTCCAGCATCTGTGCAACGGTGTGTCTTGTTCCGTGCCGCAGCGATCGCACCGATCGTCGGCTCGTAGCCCAGCTTCATGACACCACCCTCCTGTGGCCACTGTCACCAGTAACTCGGACAGCTGCCTGCCCTTCCTCGCGTGCAACAAATCCGCCACCATGGCTCTCAAAGAGGTCATATCAGCCCCTCCTTCGAGCCCAGCTCCACAGAACAAAGAAGATGCGTCCTTCCACTGCTTCAGCTCGCACGTCCGCTCCAACTCCGCCAATAACGGGGCTCCTGGCCCAGCGCCTCGAAGTCACTGCTGTCGAACTGCCATGCGTGAACTTCGCCGGCGCCGTCACTCGGCACGTCCCAGTCGGTGGGAGTGTTGGGCGACCAGCCCGCATCCAGCAAGTAAAGGATCGCCGTGGTCATGGGGCCTCGCACGTGCCGCACACGCTGACCCTGAGGAAGAGAACGAAGCTGTGCCACTGCTCTCGGCCATGCTAGCTCGATGGACCGTCGCAGCCTGACCTCAGTCAGCCACACCGCCAACCATTGAGAGATACATTGTTTGGGCAGAAGGTGCCCTGGGTCGCACCCAGGCAATCTGAGAGAGAGTAATGTGGTCAGGCAGCGCCCTCGCTTCGACGATCCAGCCGCCGCGCCAAGCCTGCGCCGCTGAGCCAACATCGTCGATCCGAATTGGCCATGGGCGTGATGTCCATAGACTGCTGCTGCTTGTGGTCCTGCCCGTTGAAGTCTGGCCGATGCTTGCCACCGACGAGCGGCCTGTGCGAAACGACGAAGTCGAACGTGTGACTGGCCTGACTTCAGATGCCGTTGACGGACGGTGGCTCGACCTTGGCGTCTACCACTGCTGAGGTCGACGCCGAGGTATGCCGCCTGGAGGGCCGCGCGTAGGTGAATGCCCTTGCGCCTCAGTGCCCTCGCAACAGCAATCGCATCGGCATGATGCGAACAAGTGATGGCGCTCTTGTCCGCCAAGCCGAGATGAAGCTTCTGAAACTCCTCGGCGGTCTGGACGCCGCCTCTGATCAAGGTCGCCCTGATATGAGCCCGTGACCCTGACGCTCTTTGCGATCGATCATCTATCCATATGCGTTCTCGAAGTGTGCTGAAGGAATTGCAAAGCCGACGACATATTTTCGCCATGATGCATTTGGCAAACCGCGTGCCATTCCTGAAGCCCTGGACCACCGAACGTGTCACTTCGAAAGGCTCTGAAAAACAACAGAGTTGCTCCAGCATACGAGGTGCCAGACACAGTTGAAGTTCCAGAAATAAAATAACTGGTGAGAAGCCTTTTTCCAAAGCACATTCTGCGAGGGGTTGAAACTCTATGGAATCATAGAAGGAGGCGATGTCCCATAGCGTGTGTCCGCTCGGGATCTGCAGCCGAGTGTGGACCTCGCCCCCCGGCGCTCGCACGAATGCTTCGCGCAGAGCGCTGTTCCCAGCGACGGCGGCGTCCCAGTGATCCACTTCGGCCTGCTCGACGGACCACTCCTTCATCTCCACCTCGCGCGCCATGGACCAGACTCTGGCCAGCATCGCGATCAATCCTATAATTCGATCGCCCCCTGATTTTTCCCCCAAAAGTTTTCCAACGATACATAGACTCTGCTATGGCCATGACAACCCTTGCACTATGAGCAGAAACAAGTCGCACAAGGCCTGGGTGCCGTCGTCGGGCAGTCGCTGAAAGTCGACTGGCGTCAGCCTGTCTATGCCGAGGCCCGCCCTCGGCTTCATTCGAGATAAAGCTGCTCGTACGTCGTTGACTGCGAGAGGGGGAAGCTGCTCGATCACAGCCTGCCCACGAACCACAGCACACGTGCGCACAATAGGCTCACGAGTGGCCTCTGAAGACTTCCACTTAGAATGATAAACCTCCACTTTGCGATCCACGATATCCTTGGGATGTACCAAGACGCCACCATCTGAAGTATTGTGTAGTTCGTCTCGCTCGGGGTCGGAATCTTTGATGCTCTTGTGGACCACACCTTGTGTGTCCAAGGAAGAAAACCACTGTTGAAAATCACGCAGCGAAGCTGGCGCCGCTTTGTTATGCGCCCTCTTGGACGCACGATACGCTTGCTCCTCCAGCTGGGCCAACATCTCGACGTCGAGATCGACGAGCCTCCGAAGATGGCTCAGAAACTGTTCCCAGCTGCCAGCACCTGCGGGACAAGCCATTCCTGCACCGTCCAAAGGTTGATCTGCCAGACGAACACCTGCTGCTGCCAGCTGTGACAGTTGAAGTGCTCCATTCTGGCGTCGCCTATGCCTGAGGATTCTCTGCGCGACGTTGTGGACTCGCGCCCGCCAGGACGAGATGCCGTCCTTCGAGGGCTGCTGACGTATGTGATCGGCCTGCTTGACAGCTGTGACCTTGAGGCTGCATCCAGCGCTGCGCGATCGTGCGCACCCGCCGAGGTCGTGATGCCCCAAGATCGTCTGCTCAGCCGTCTCAACACAGCGAGCGAAAGCATTGCTAATGTGGAGGATGTGTGCACCTCCGACTTCGAAGGCCACTGACTGGGGTATGGGGGCCCAAACGTCGTGAGTAGAGTGTGAGTGCCAAGGCGTTTGAGCCAAAGCGGCTGCCCACGACGAGGGAGGGATAAAGAAGGACGGGAGAGAGGCAGGAGAGGCAGCAGCATCGGCAGGGGCGAGATTGCTAGTTTCCCCCCTCCAGGGAGTCAGTGTTCCTGGGACGCTCAGCTCTGGTGGCGGACTGACTTGTGCCCTCAACATCGCCAGACCTCACCTCTCCAGGGAGACCCGAATTCCCAGACAGAGCCGCTCCGACGGGGACGAAAAAGGATTCGTCGGCCCAAGCCGTAGCGGCTGGACGAGCAACTTGAGGCAAACGTGCCGCGACTTCTAGAGTGCGAGAGATGAGCTGTTCACCATTGCCTCGCAGCTTTACTTCCAGACAGATGTGAGGGGCCCATGGGGTGTCTACAACAGCACTGACGCTCATGATGTATGGTACGCAGCATTCTGAAGCCATGACAAACTCAATGTGCGAATTGTTGACGCTTCGCGACTCCCCACCAGCCCATCCAGAAACGATGCCCAGAGAAATTGCCTCGATCAGGGAAGTGGGCAGCACACAGAGGAAGCCATTAGGATACATCTTGGGATATCGTGAGCCATCTTGGAGGTCATTTTGGGCTCTCCCAGGCGCTCTTGGAGTCATCTTAATCAGTGCCCCCCCCCCAAGTGGCCAACATGTGGCTAAAACCTTCGTAACACTCAATGATTTGGCATTC